TTTTTTTTCCTTCTATCACCTTCTCTTATTTTATTCTTTATTTTTATAATTCTATCACTTTCTCTTTTGTTATTCTTTGTTTCTTCCTTCTATTCTTATGTTAATCTTTGTTCTTTTCCTTCTCTCAGCCTTTTTTATGTAATTCTTTATTTTAATAACTCTATCACTTTCTCTTTCTGTCTTTCCTTATGTTATTTTAGTTTCTTCCTTCTATCACTTTCTCTTTTTGTCTTTTATAATGTTATTCTTTGTTTTTATAATTATTCTATCACTTTCTCTTTTGTTATTCTTTGTTTCTTCCTTCTATTCTTATGTTATTCTTTGTTTTTTACTTCTACCACCTTTTTTTATGTAATTCTTTGTTTTAAGCATTCTATCACTTTCTCTTTCTGCCTTTCCTTATGTCATTCTTGTTTCTTCCTTATATCACATTCTCTTACGTTATTCTTTGTTTTAATAACTCTATCACTTTCTCTTTCTGTCTTTCCTTATGTTATTTTTTGTTTCTTCCTTCCATCACCTTCTCATTCTTTGTTTTATTATTGCGATCTATGCTCAAAACAGCCGTCGACAGTCGGCCGTAAACAATTCCAAAAAGCGCGCGCCAAAGTTGACCTATACTTCCTGGGTCAAACTGCGAGTGTGACGCGAAGTGGCTGGGCTCGAAATGAGCTAGAATCAGCGTTGATAAAAAAAATTGCTTGAACGCTAACCGCAGTGACCTTGTTTTTTGTAACGGCGTTTTAATTTGTGATTCATGTTTGTGATTCTAGCTTCGAAAATTCGATTGAACGCACCCGAACACACAGAACGCACATAAACATGGACTTAACAATGATGACGTCGATTTTACAATCGCACACAGTATTCTCACTCACAGACCCTTATTGTGTGTATTTATTGAGTGAGTTAAATCAGTTGTGTTTTTCTTCTCTTAATCGATTTCTACGAAAAGGTAAAGTATCATCTCATCAAATTTCCCAATGATAGAGACAAAATATAAAATATAAAATATAGCACAATATTATTATTATAATATAATGGGGAAATATTACTGCACTACACAGTTGTTTCATCCAAAAAACAAAAAACAAGCATCGCTTATTTTTTTTCAGAATTAAACTGAATATGCTACTCTTAAACATTTTGATTTTCATATTTCTCCACAAAAATAATTGAAATTATGAGTTTTTCCACCATTCGAACACAAAATCTGCCCCATACCCTCTCCCTTTTTCCCCTTTTTCTCTTTGGACTTAACCCCCTTCCTCTTCCTCTTCCCCTCCCCCCCCCCTCACTTCTACTTGTGTGGATATAAATATGCTCTTGCATTGTTGTTTTCGTTCCACCTCCACCTCGCTTTTCCTAAAACTTCCCAGTTTTCCTATTTTCTCAGATGCAGGGGAAATTTATTTTCATAAATGCCAAATTCTTTTCTGAAACTGAGTTTAATTTCACCCACGGCTATAGATGAACTCCTTTCTCTTCCCATGAAAATCAAATACTTTACAAGAATTAAGAAATAATTTACCGATTGCTCCTTTCCTTGATCAATTAATGTCATTCCAATATCTTCCCATATTATCTCTTCTTTATTATGCGCAATGACCGATTGGATTTAAATTTATGAATCGATTATTACACAGCAGATGCAGTGTGTGGACAAGGAACAAGGGTTCATAAAACTTGTTATCAATAATAAGTTACAATAGTTCTAACAATATACCAACACCGCTGCATTTGATAGATGAGAGTAAATTTGTCATAGAAATTTAGTATTAGTTATTAATATAAAGCTTTATAAACAGAGCCTGTGTTGGAACACAAAATATATTAACCAAAAAAAGTATGTAAATTTGTAAAGTACGATATATAGAACAAAACGTGTAAACATAGCGACTAATAAGTGGGGTTTTTGTGAACAAAGCCATTGATAGTGAACCGTGACTTTGGCTTACATAGAAATCCTTAAATTACAATACCACTGCTAGCGCATGACAGATTCAGGCTCTTGCACTATCACCCTGATAGTTATTTTTGCTGCTTCCCCACTTGCCCATTGAATACGCATATAGCACATAGCAAAGTAGGATACGCGAATTCTCTAGCTCTCATCTTTGAGACTTTTATTATAATTTTTTAAAGTACGGTCGATGTCTAACCTCTTTCAGATGTGTTTGATCTTCATTCGTGACTTTAGGACTTTTATTGCATCTTTTGGGATCATATCATTTCATTATTCCTTGCTTCATGCAATATGTAAGTATTTTGATTATTTTTTTTTTCTTTTTAGTGTAAATAATACCGTATAAAAATAGGCTGAAATTGAAATCACTGAAATCGACATCTTACCGTCAAAATTTTGTGTTTAGAATACAATCACTTTCTGAATTATCTTGCATAATTATTATAGATACAGGTCTTAGGTCTTTATTTTATCCCTTCTCTTCCCCATTTCTCTCTTCATGTCTTTAAAATTTTAAATATTTGTTGATGTTTATTATGAGTTTAAAGTGCAAAATGTTGAGCAATACCTTTTTACTCCTAATCACATTTTTGTTTCCTGTCCATTTTGGTGAATATAGGATTCTTTTATACAATTTTGAACAGTTCAGCTATGTAATCTACGTACGTTTCAGTCTTTGGACTGTTTTTTTTTTACAAGGAATTTTCGTTATAAACCGAAATGAATGACGAATGAATGAATGTGCAATAGCTAATGTTAAATAGTATCACGCTAGCAAATATGCACCAACTTGCTTTAACAAAAAATGAATGTGTGACTCGAAAAGAAAGCTAACACAAGGAACGCCATAGATTATTTTGTAGATGTCACACATCATTATCAATAAAAACGTGTTATTTGGTAGAAATAACAGAATTTTGGAGATTTTTTTTTCTTCAAGATTCTTTTATGTTTGTAATTTATTAGCACAAAAATATGAAACCAATACTAGCTGTGTGATACAATTTCTCATATTTAGGATTAAAATAATTTTTAAAAAATTATATATTATACAAATATTTGTAATATATCCATTGCACTAGCTTGTACAGGTCAAACCGATAATGATATGGATAAGATAATAGTCAAAATTTAACGAATGAAAATTGCATTGGAAAATTGTCCGAAATATTTATCACAGAAACGGACGCGTGCGAATACTATGTGCCTTCAAATTGAAATTGAAAGCTTTTGAAATCAATTAACTTTATTTTGAAATTTGTTTTTTTGTTAACAATAATTATTCCAAATCATTACGAAGAATTAACATGGAGAGGCGTATCCATTACAGGTAGTGAAAGGGGAGCATGTGTCCCGGGTAGCAGTGGAAGGGGGCGCAAAAACGAAAAAGAAAGGGGTGCAATAATAAATTGCTCCCAAAAAAGAAAGGAAGACTTGAACTGAAGAGGCCGGAGAAAAAGAATAAAAAGATCCTTGAAGGGCAATTCAACCCTTGTAGCAAGTTAATTTTGTGAAAGCAGAAAAATAAGATAAAAAGAATGCCGAAAATTTGAAATAAATCGGGCCAATAATAAGAAAGTTATGAATGTTTTAAATATGACATCACTAGGACTATGCGAATGCACTTGATAACCAAGGCTAAATGATGAAGATGTAAATAATAAACTCATTATTGGCTATGGCGCCCTCTCTAGATATTGCACGGGTGAAAATCTGGTGTTTTTTTTTTAGGGGGGGGGGCACTGATATTATCCTGAAACTGCCGACGGTACGGATAGAAGTCAGTGTACCGATACAATAGCAATGGACGTTTCTAAAAATTCTAACCAATAATTTGATTAATTTCCTATAATTACCGTGAAACGAAATTCTGACTTTACTGAATATCCTCCGTGAAATCATTCCTCCTTTTACGTACTTCAGTCTCATAAATTCGTATCAGTATTGTACTTGAAATACAAAAAGCAACTGATACTAATTCATGATCTTGTAAATAGCAAGTTGTGTACTGCACATATCTGTGACGCAAAACTCATTCCGAATTGCAAAATTATGCTACATGTTTAACACTAAAGATTATTATACAACAAATGTATTACCTTTCAATTCAGTTGTGTATTCCAATATATAATTGCATATGTCTCCAGTTGATGTTGGATAAAGAATGAAGAAAGAGATAGGTAGCTTTTTAGATAGTAACAAGTCGCAACGCAAAGTATATCCTGAACATATAACATGTAATACATGGCGCTGTAGTTTGTACTCTCGTGAAATTGGACTTCGGTCTCTGTAAACACAAAACCAAAATAGACAAAGGAAATGTGACAATACAGTTGGATACGTTGACAATAATATCATCACAATCATGCCATTGGACCCTGGGAAATTTAAAATTTAGACGCAATCCTTGAAGTTCACTTTTGGGGAGACAGAGTGGGGATATCTCTGTTTTGAGTGTAACGCCACTAAAAAATATGGAATCCACTCTCAAAGCGGTTATTCAATCAATACTTATAGAAGAAGTTTCAAATCCAAAGAATCGATCCCAAAATAATAATGACTTTTTATGACAATTAAAAATGTCGATTTTTACCCATCTGCACTTATCATCCCTAAATCACTCACGTTTATGACTCGTTTTTGTTTCAAAATTTTGTAAAAACACGTGATTTTTACCTTTTGGGGGGTTGCCCCCCCCCCCTGGCGCTCAAGGGGGGGGGGTGCAAATTTTCAAATTTTCGAGGACCAAAAAAAAATGTGCTCACTACACTACTCTTTTCAACGCTAATAAGTGCCCTTTCCAAAAAATAAATACTTTTCATGAAATTTGCCCATTTAAACTACCGAAGCGTGTCAAATCAAAATGGAGAGATGTGATGAGAGATGTGTTCTGAAGTTTTGTATTCACTAAATAACCGAAGAGGTTCATCTGGTTGGTGATGTAACTTGAAAATTGTTGATTTCTTCATGACAAAACGTATCTGCTCTCACATAATCATTGATTAAACATAAGTTCTATTATACTTATTTCAGCCATACAATGGCAACCTCCAAATATCAAGGAAGAGGCAATTCATCCCGTAACAGAAACAGAAGCGACAATAAAGGGAAATACAAGGTAAGAAATGAGGGGTGTCAAAATTCGAAGGATCGGAGAGCGGGAGGGTGAAATAATCCTACCAGCTTCCAGCATTAGGAAGAGCATTTAGTCCTTCGAGACTCATTTTGGGCAAGTTGTCGAGGGTTGGAATCGGGGGCGGCAGCAAATTTTTATTCGGGAATGTTTGGGAATCCGTGAAATCCCCTCAGCGCTCTCAGACTCGTTCAGTTATGGGGGTGGGTTCGCCAACACTTGCATGGAAGGAATCGTTTTGGGGAAAATATCCACGTAAAGAGGGGGGGGGGGGGGTCTCTTATTGCCATTTAAATGCTTCCATATTGTTGGGTGAAAAAGTTGTCTAATCGTTTCTTAATTCTGTTTTGTTGGGCAGTTATATGTGAGTGGTCCCGGTTTCCATACACAACTCACCCTCAATCCACCCAATCAATCCTCGGTGAAGTTTACAGATCAGCAAGGGAGACAAACAGAGATTTTGGTGGATGTCAAGGTAAGATATCTGGAGAAATGATACTCGAATGAATGTAAACACTCGAGATTAACTTCATGCAATAATACTAAATTTAAAGTCAAGGTTCGCGGAAATGACAAATAATGTTAAAACGAACGACTTGCTTGTTGAGCCAATATAATTCAAGGGGCAAAAATCAAAGCGTAATTATTGGAGCAGTATCATTATCAAATCAAAACCAAGTTACTTTGTTAAATCTTAACTCTGTCATAATCATTATAGGAATCAGCTAATTACAGTCATGAATTGTTAATAAATCAATGATCATTATTTTGTGAAATTTTTAATACAAGTAGACTATTATAAATATATTTGCGTTGAATGATCTGAAAGAATCATTAATGCCTCAGCTAATTGCTTTAGTCATTCGATTAGAGGGATCTCGTGCCCCAGCCCTAAGTAATATTGGAACCTTTGAAATATTAAAATGATATGCATCGATCTCGATGATAATGTTCATGTCGTTATGTTTTGGTGTGGGAGCCTGTTCCGAAATAGTCACACATTGAGTCACACAATTTTACCCATAAGCTTTGACCCCTCAAAGTATGTAACTCATTGACAAAAAGGTTGTCAGTCTGACCGTAAGTGTCGGGTTCAGCCCCCCAGACCCCCCCCCCCCCGGCCCCCACAAGGTGGGGGCGATGTTACCTTGCTAGGCCATGAGGTGACTATTTCTTAATCCCAGCTCATGACTTTATAGAGATAGTGCAGTTGTATACCATATGCACCATTGCACCAAATGGATAACTGAATGAGATCTAACTCTTGGATTATTAACCTCTATACGTATAAACAAATCTTATAATTTTTCTCTATCATTTCCATTCAATGTATTTAATTTTGTTGTCCAATGTCATTGCGTTATTTCTAGAACGTTCGATCACTCAAAGGAACAACATCATCAACCGGTGAGTAAACAATTGTAAAAACCTGTTAACAACCGCATGTATTGAGGCAGCACCCTCGGGGGGGGGGGGGGGACACAAGTCCCCCTTCACTTTTTCAAATACCCCAAAAGTGCCGCTTGCCCCTATTACTTTGTAAAAGTGCCCTTCCCGTTCTCACCTCTGATAAGTGCCCCTTTTATTTCGACGCGTGCCTCTTTTTCTTACTAATAAAAGCCATTTCCCCCTTCTCATAAAAGCCCCATTTCTTTTATTATAAGTGCCCTTCTTTCATTCTCATAAGTGCTCCTTTTCAGGTAAGATAAGTGCTCCTTTTTACCTCTGATAATTTCCTTTTTAACAATGATACGTGCCCCTTTTCCTTTCTAATAAGGGACCTATCCCCTTTTCATAAAAGCTCCTTTTCACCTCTGATAAATTCCTCTAACAAAATCCTTTGGGTGCACATTTTCCGTTGACAACTGCCCATTTTCCATTCTAATAAGTGCCTTTATTCATCTCTGGTGAGTGCCTCTATATTCAGGTGTAAGAAGTGCCCCATTTTCACCTCTGATAATTACACTTTGTACTTTGACACAAAAATGAGTTTAATCAATGTAATTTACATTTGCTGAGGGAATGTATCATGCTAGTGTGTGTGTTCTAGCTCTAATCTACCACTGATGAAAACTTCATCCTGGAGTTGGCTCAGTGCGATTCTTGATAATGGCACTTTTTGTAATGCTTTCTTGAAATAGTGAAGATAATTTAATTTTACTGATGTGTACAACACCTACATTAGGAAGGGTCAGTAAAAAAAATCTTAAAGGTATTACAAAGTTTTGGTATGGGGTCATGAATTTGGGTCAAATTAACATATTGGAAGCATGCGTTCCTACAATATTCATTGATCGTTAATGTCGCGGTTGAAATCGAGTCTAAAGTTATGAAATTATAAATACTAAACTCTTTATGTTGTATAGCTCCCTCTCAAGGTCAAGATATTAATTTAGCCCTGAAACAATGTTTCTTGTCTAAAATCGACCAACTAGCTATTACCGTTTGGAAATTATATATCACAACTACATATTCTGAGATTTTCATGGTCGCAGCTACCATTGTACGGCCATAGGCGCTATTTGAAATTTATCAAAATTTACCGGGAGCACCGGTAAATTATTATATTCAATTTTTCTCGAAAACAGAAATGTTTTAGGGGCTAATTTTTATTAGTGCCCATAATACATCCACAGGTGCATCCAAATATATCAAAATTGTAAAGATTCACTATCCACCCAATTTTTAAAATTTCCCAAAACTTTGTATTACCTTTAACTGGAGAAATTATTAGAATGTGGCATTACAAGAAGCTTCATCTCGGCAATGGTTTGGTACACAGCCCAATAGCACCGAAGAGACCGACACCATTAGTTGTCAGCTAATTACATAGGCTATAATGAATTTGAGCCCAGATGGAAACAAAAAACAACATTGCCCAGAATGGCTAAGGACCGCCATGTTTTGGAGTCGGTTTAGAGTCGGCTTGACTGAGGTATAAACATGAGACACTTATTATCTCTGCAAATGAAATGAACATATCTCCTTTCCTTTCAAAGATACTGGGCAGCTTGAACTACCTCTAGCATCCGAAATGCCAGCCAAGCCACCAGAATACACCAAACTGATGCTCGATGTGGCAAGACAGATCGAATCTACTCCTGATGGACTCATGGACTTCAGAAACACTTGTCACGAACAGGGACACGTCGGTGCTTTCGATCTAGAAAAGAAAAGAGCATCTGACATCATCCAAAATCTTCAGAAAAAGATGATTGTACATCCGGGTCAGTATGAGAAGTTTGTGGAGTTCCTAGAAATCATCGGAAGAGGAGATGTCATCAAGATGCTTCCGGGTTACCAAGACTATGATTCTAAGGATGGAGGTATGATAATGTTGATGTTTGGTGTTGAATAGTGTGTCCCGATTGCAAGAAAAGAGAGTAAATTATTCTTGTATAGTAGTAACCAATGAACATAAGTGTAATGTTTAAAGTCCTGTAATATCCGAGTGACCTGTTCTTGAGGACTAATGGCTTATCAAAATACTGATTGAACCGACTTGATTCGAACCATGAACCATGGTTTTAAGGCTTTTATTCTTATTATTGAGCCATCACAAGCGCTGTGTTTTCATTGCTAAACATTTCCTCTTTATTTGGCAGGGTTTAATACGAGTATGGAAACCTAGGATAAACATCAATTACTGTAACACCTAATTGAAGAGCAATCATATTAATATGGGATGAAGGCTAAATAGAGGGCTTTGTTACGCGGCTACAATCATTCTTTACATCAAATTACTTGGAAAATTGAACCGTGTTTGATTATGATAGCCAAAGTGTTGTATGAAAACGTTTGGTGCAACTTTACTTTACTTTTAGAGATAAAGGCTTAATTCGTAACAAAAAGTTATGTTTGAATGTTGTTGTTTGCTAACGACTATGTGGCTACTATAGATTGTCACGATGAATTAAAGCTCCTACATTGCTTAATGATAGCATGGTGAAATCTCATGTTTTCCTTTAAGGGAATAATAACCAACCTCATTACAACAACAAACTGGAGAAGGGTGAAACCCAAAGTGGCACTCCACATTCTGCAGTTGCTGGTAGGGTCACAGACATAGAAATATCGATTCTCTCGAACAGCATCCCACCAGACTGCGTTCTTCGTCTCGGCATCTTCCTCGACATGTCCTATCCGGAGATTGAGACACAACGCAGACAAGGAGGAACTAGTAGTATGCTGTTTTACTGGCGAAAAAATGTGCCTGAGCGAGACCAAAGGCAACAACTTCAACAGGCACTGGAGGAGGCTCACCTGGGTTATCTGGTGACTGATTGTTTTGGTGAGGATCCTCCTTACATTATATTCAAATTAAATTTTATCGTACGAGTCTGATCAAATTTGAGACTGAACAGATCCACAAACGAAACTCAGACACAACTTACAGAATTGTACTGAACAAATAGGCGTTGTTAGGATTTTTAGCAGGTTAATATTACACTGCCCAGCCATACCAAACTGAGAGGGCACTGGATCTACTTGGGGCATCGGTCAGTGTTACTCCTAGAATGAAATATGAATTTACAGGTGCCTTCTTTTCTCATCGTTTCCCCCTTCTCTCTCTCCCTTTCACTTTTTTTCTCGCTTTTTCTTTCTTTTCAATTTTAGGGTTACATGCTCCCTGTAGCTATGCCAATAATAATAAAATAAGTCATGTTTTATCCTATGTTCATCGTTTTTCATGAATTTTATGCAATCATAGGAGATGGAAAGAATTCTACACGCAAAGACAAAGGACCTCTGAGCCGATCTTCAATTATATCTGACAAGAATTTAAGCAAGCTAGCTGGGAAGATAGGCCAAGGATGGTCACAGTTCGGCATCCAAAAGCTAGACATGTCAAAGGTCGACATTGATCATTTTGAACACAACAGATCAACCGTAAGCAATTTATAATTTATTGAATCAGTATTTAAAATTTTTAAAATACTGAACATGTAGCCCTAGACCTGAAAATATTCAATTTATAAAATAGAATATACAGAATACAAATCAAGATGGAAATCAAGAAGTACCAAATATCAATTCTTATATGGAAATAAAACTCATATATTCCTTGTGCATTCTTCCCTTTTAATCATAAGTATATATGAATTAAAGGGATTTTGTAGATTAAAATAGTCACACAGTCATGTATGTGGCAAAAATATAATGCACAGTTTTTGGCATAGTCTCGAACATTTTGCACAACATTGGATACACCTATGGTGGTTAAATGTTACCCTGTAAAGGTTCACTCGGGAACAACTGCATACTGTCTTTGATGAATTACATGAGGAAATTTAATATTTTATCACGGGCTGATTAGTTCAGTAAAGTCACGGATAAAAAGGAAATTTTGGGCTGAAATTTCACAGGCAGTGTTTTAGCATTTGAAATACAGGACTGGATAAAATAATTTAAAAGAATTAGTATACATATACATTTGGGTTTTCTGATGGTAGGAATACTCAAACAATTTGTAATTCAAAACCGAATCAACATCACACAAAAATGTCCTGGAAGATACGCACCCTAACACATAAATGTACAACACTGTCTACAAACTCTACTTGTAATAGTTTCTTTTCAACAATCAAAACACGGTACTTGTTTCTTAAAGAAAAAAGATGTTTTGTTGTTTCTTAATCTGCATCCCTGGAATATACTTAATCATAAGAAAACAAGAGTAATTGGTAAAATATACAAATCCAACAACACCGAATTAAACCGATCCTCATATAAATCATACGTCATAGAAAACAATACAATTTCATAAATTTCTAGCATGTTAATTCAGAAAAGGATTGCATGTTTCAAACATGGTATGTTGTATGTTTACATAACAAATTTTGTCCTTGTATATTTTAAAACATGACCTTATACGTTACGTCAAATTTTGACAAAATACTGCTATTTTTGGTTCTTACTAGTGGGAGTCATTCTCCTTCACCATTTATTTGCGTTATTATATAGGGCGTTATTTATTCATCTAATCTGTGTTCATTATATACATGGTAGTCTCTTTAGTACATAAAAAGCTGTAATACATAATACAATTTAAAGAATATATAAACAAAATTAATAAGCAAATTAAAAAATATTAAAATACTACAATACTAACAAAACAAGACCAAGAACATAGATTGATAATGGAAACATGACTGTATTAGACTTTTGATCACGTTACGCAATTAAGCTAGATACAGCTTTATACTTCAGCTAAAATGTACCCTTTTATTCTGGAATTTCACTTCTTTATTAAAAATACAGATGGAGGATACGATATTTGGCATGTTGTATGAGTGGCGTCAACGTCATCATGACGATGCAACGATTGGTACACTACTCGATTTAATGGAGGAGAGTCCGAATATCTCACTGGACTCCTATAACTTTATTCTAGAAGAACTGCAAAGCAGTGGTAAATGGTATGTTGTATATATTTACATCACGAATGTTTTCCTTTTATATTTCAAAACACGACCTAACGTTTAATAACTGTCTCTTGTTTTATTAAACAGTTTTCTTGTATTCAAATTGCGATGAAGGCCGAATTATCAAACCTTTCGTATAATGAGTGATTGAGAGATTTGAAAATATGCAAATGAACCGAGTCGGGACACTGTCAATCATAAAGTTATTATGAATCAGAAATGACAATTCCATTGGAGGTTGCACTGTACTCTCTAGACTTTACCACTAATGGACACAAGTAAATTCATTTTTCATGGAGAGCATGATACATTTGTAGATTCGATTGTGTAAATTAGGCTCTGATGTAAATCTTTTAACGTTTTATTAAGACAAAAGACATAGCCTACAATCCATAACGAAAAAGTTTCATTTAAAGAAAAACTTTTTTGTCTATTCTTGATCTTTTTTCAGATCTGCATCAGTGAGCATTGCGAAAGATGGCGCCCTTAGTGACCACATATCATGACAGGAACGTCATCCAGGTGCTAAAAAACGCAGGACTATTTTTTTTTATTTGTCAAATGAAACCAGTGGCGGATCCCCTCCCCTGGGAAAAAAACGTGTAAAAAATCACGTTAAAATGTTACCTTTTTTTTGGAGATGGGCCCCCTCCCCTGGCGCTCAAGGGGTGGGGGGGGGGGGGGGGTGCAATTTTTCAAATTTTCGAGAGCCAACAACAAAATAGTGCTCACTACCCCCCCCCCCCCCCCCCCCCCCCCGACTGAGCGAATTATCGGCCGGCTATTTCGCCGCTAATATGTTCTCACGAATTGGGCCCCCTCCCCTGCCACTGGCTGGATCCGCCCCTGAGTGAAACCTATACATTCAAGTTCCGCTGTGTATTTAGAAGATGTGTTCGTCCTCAAGATAAGTATATGAACTCAGAGTTAACGCCGATGGGTGGCCTCAATTCCTTTGAAATATTTCCCTTTTAAATAGTTGTATTTGTTATTTGTGTGCAAAGTCGTCTCCAGTCAAACTGAAGCGGCACCTGTTGTCTATATATATATTTTGAAGTTTGCTTCGTGTTTGCATATATGTTCATTAAAATATTACTTTTTGAAACTATGTAAACCAAACAGTGCCAATCACCGTTATTTAGCGCATTAGTAAATTTAAAGTTTATACTGATATTCAGATGGATTTCATCTTGATTGATGTGTAATTGTATAAGGATAATTTGGATGAAGTTGTCTGAAACTATGTCCTATTGTATTCAGACATTAAACACGTTATTAGATATTAGATATTCAAACTTACGAACGATGCAACACCAACTGCCATTGTAACTGGAGTTGATGTTGCATCGTACGTATTAGTTTGAAAATCGATAAACATTTAACCTGGAAAACCGTATTGGAAAAGTAAACAAAGTGTATTTGGAAGAAAATTGATATTTTTCATTAATTCTATAGACTCAGAAAATGTTGATTCTACTAATAAAAAACGTTGATGCAGCCCAACATTACATATGGACAGGCGCGTACGCAGGGGGGGGGGGGGGGGGGGTTAGGGGGTTAACCCCCCTCCCTTTGGCAATTTTATGTATGTAAACCCCCCCCCCAAAAAAAAAAAAAAAAAAAAAAAAAAAAAAAAAAAACTTAAACCCCCCCCCCCTTTGTTTTTTTTGTTTAAAAAAAAAAAAAAAAAAAAATTATTATTACCACGGCCGACGTAAAAAAGGTGACCTTACCCCCCCCCCAACTGGACAAAATGTCAAATTTCAAAATTCCGAGATCCCCCCCCCCAAAAAAAAGTGTCCTATTACCCCGATTTATAAATGTTAACCCCCCCCCCCCCTTGAAAAAATCCTGCGTACGCGCCTGCATATGGAATTGAATTAAAAGGCAGGACCCATGAAACAAATCTGACATGTATAATGTACATGTAAAAGTTTTGACAAATGGCTCTATACGCTCTGTATGTCATTTAGTTTGAATGGCACTCAAAACCGTCACTTAAAAAATTACAGATCTTGAATGTGTGCCAACCAACTGCACAAACTTATTTGTTTATAGTTTAATTGTTAGGGACTTGGTAACATTATGACCTCAGGGGATTTGTGTCATATTATGATGTGTAATACTTGATAACTCTTGGGTACCAGTTTTATGGAATTCGAACAAACACTTTTGAAATTATGCTAACAAATTCAGAATCTTGATGTTGATGCCACAACAAGCTACAAATAAAGATAATCTGAAAGTTTGAGTTTGAGTGACAATAAACCATTATTAATGATAAAACTTGGAAAAAACTGATTTGATCGATTCCTAAATTCTCCCAACTATAGTATTGCAGTTTAATCACATGTTGTAAATCGTCTCAAAGCAATGAATTGGCTCTGTATATCATTCGTCATTCCAAACATTATTTTAAGCGTTGAAAGATTTTTAAAAGCCTGTCTTGTGCCTTATTTTCGTGGAAAAACGGTTGGAAAAAATAAAAAATGGTTGGGAGAATTTACTGTTAGAGGGAGTTGCACAGTGACGCCTTCAAAGGAAATATAAATATATTTGTGGTTTAAGAATTTGTTCTGGATTTGTTTGCATGTTAGAGGGTTAATACATTAAAAGGAATATAGTGAGTAACATTTCTTACAAAAATTACATTTTTTCCAACAACCTTCAACAATGTTACCGAGTCATGCTATAAGCCTATTTCATGTGATTTTATTGTTATCTGAATGTAATTTAGCTAATTTAGCTAACCGTTCTCGTAAATAATCCTCGTCTGAATTCAGGTTCACCCCTCCCGCGCGAAGCGCGGAAACTTTTACGTTTCATTAAATAATTAGAGAAACAAGACGATTCGTTGTACAGTTCTCGACTCTTAATCCTCGTCTGAATACAGGTTCCCCTCTCCCGCGCGAAGCGCGGAAGCTTTTACGTTTCATTAAATCATTAGAGAAACAAGACGATTCGTTGTACATTTCTCGACTCTTAATCCTCGTCTGAATTCAGTTTTCCCCCTCCCGCGCGAAGCGCGGAAGCTTTTACGATGCATTAAATCATTAGAGAAACAAGACGATTCGTTGTACATTTCTCGACTCTTAATCCTCGTCTGAATTCAGTTGTCCCCCTCCCGCGCGAAGCGCGGAAGCTTTTACGATTCATTAAATCATTAGAGAAAGAAGACTATTCGTTGTACCGTTCTCGAAAATAATCCTCATCTGAATTCATTTTCACCGCCCCCCCCCCCCGGGCCCTCCTGCGCGAAGCGCGGAAGCTTTTACGATTCATTAAATCATTAGAGAAAGAAGACGATTCGTTGTACAGTTCTCGACTCTTAATCCTCGTCTGAATACAGGTTACCCCCTCCCGCGCAAAGCGCGGAAGCTTTTACGTTACATTAAATCATTAGAGAAACAAGACGATTCGTTGTACATTTCTCGACTCTTAATCCTCGTCTGAATTCAGTTTTCCCGCTACCGCGCGAAGCGCGGAAGATTTTACGATTCATTAAATCATTAGAGAAAGAAGACTATTCGTTGTACCGTTCTCGACTCTTAATCCTCGTCTGAATACAGGTTCCCCTCTCCCGCGCGAAGCGCGGAAGCTTTTACGTTTCATTAAATTATTAGAGAAAGAAGACGATTCATAGTACCGTTCTCGTAAATAATCCTCGTCTGAATTCAGGTTCACCCCTCCCGCGCGAAGCGCGGAAACTTTTACGTTTCATTAAATAATTAGAGAAACAAGACGATTCGTTGTACAGTTTTCGACTCTTAATCCTCGTCTGAATACAGGTTCCCCTCTCCCGCGCGAAGCGCGGAAGCTTTTACGTTTCATTAAATCATTAGAGAAACAAGACGATTCGTTGTACATTTCTCGACTCTTAATCCTCGTCTGAATTCAGTTTTTCCCCCTCCCGCGCGAAGCGCGGAAGCTTTTACGATTCATTAAATCATTAGAGAAACAAGACGATTCGTTGTACATTTCTCGACTCTTAATCCTCGTCTGAATTCAGTTGTCCCCCTCCTGCGCGAAGCGCGGAAGCTTTTACGATTCATTAAATCATTAGTGAAAGTGAAAGAAGACTATTCGTTGTACCGTTCTCGACTCTTAATTCTTGTCTAAATGTAGTCCCAACCCCTCAACCCCCTCCTGCGCGAAGCGCGGAAGCTTTGACGTTTCATTAAATTATTAGAGAAAGAAGACGATTCGTTGTACCGTTCTCGAAAATAATCCTCGTCTGAATTCATTTTCACCGCCCCCCCCCCCCCCCCCTGGGCCCTCCTGCGCGAAGCGCGGAAGCTTTTACGATTCATTAAATCATTAGAGAAAGAAGTCGATTCGTTGTACAGTTCTCGACTCTTAATCCTCGTCTGAATACAGGTTACCCCCTCCCGCGCAAAGCGCGGAAGCTTTTACGTTTCATTAAATCATTAGAGAAACAAGACGATTCGTTGTACATTTCTCGACTCTTAATCCTCGTCTGAATTCAGTTTTCCCCCTACCGCGCGAAGCGCGGAAGATTTTACGATTCATTAAATCATTAGAGAAACAAGACGATTCGTTGTACATTTCTCGACTCTTAATCCTCGTCTGAATTCAGTTGTCCCCCCTCCCGCGCGAAGCGCGGAAGCTTTTACGATTCATTAAATCATTAGAGAAAGAAGACTATTCGTTGTACCGTTCTCGACTCTTAATCCTCGTCTGAATACAGGTTCCCCTCTCCCGCGCGAAGCGCGGAAGCTTTTACGTTTCATTAAATTATTAGAGAAAGAAGACGATTCATAGTACCGTTCTCGTAAATAATCCTCGTCTGAATTCAGGTTCACCCCTCCCGCGCGAAGCGCGGAAACTTTTACGTTTCATTAAATCATTAGAGAAACAAGACGATTCGTTGTACATTTCTCGACTCTTAATCCTCGTCTGAATTCAGTTTTCCCCCTCCCGCGCGAAGCGCGGAAGCTTTTACGATTCATTAAATCATTAGAGAAACAAGACGATTCGTTGTACATTTCTCGACTCTTAATCCTCGTCTGAATTCAGTTGTCCCCCTCCTGCGCGAAGCGCGGAAGCTTTTACGATTCATTAAATCATTAGTGAAAGTGAAAGAAGACTATTCGTTGTACCGTTCTCGACTCTTAATTCTTGTCTAAATGTAGTCCCAATCCCTCAACCCCTCCTGCGCGAAGCGCGGAAGCTTTGACGTTTCATTAAATTATTAGAGAAACAAGACGATTCGTTGTACCGTTCTCGAAAATAATCCTCGTCTGAATTCAGTTACCCCCCCCCCCCCTCCCGCGCGTAGCGCTGAAGCTTTTACGATTCATTAAATCATTAGAGAAAGAAGACAATTCGTTGTACCGTTCTCGACTCTTAATTCTTGTCTAAATTCAGTCCCACCCCCCCCCCTCTTGCGCGAAGCGCGGAAGCTTTTACATTTCTTTAAATCATTAGAGAAACAAGACGATTCGTTGTACCCTTCTCGATGCTTAATCCTCGTCTGAGTTAATTTCCCCCCTTCCGCGCAAAGCGCGGGGGCTTTTACGTTTCATTAAATTATTAGAGAAAGATGACGATGCGTTGTACCG